TTTTGTGGATTTTAATGGAGACTGTTCATAATAGTTTCTTACAGTCCTTTGTATTTTTTTGGTGTCAGTTGTTATTTCTCTTCTTTTATTTCTGATTGTATTTTTTTGGATTTTCTCTCTTTTTTTCTTGACGAGTCTGGTTAGATGTTTGTCAATGTTGTTGAACCTTTCAGAGAACCAGCTTTTGTATTTATCGATCTTTTGTATCATTTTTTTTAAACTTTATTTTGTTTATTGCTGCTCTGATCTTTGTCATTTCCTTCCTTCTACTCACTTTAGGCTTTGTTTGTTGTTCCTTTTCAACTTCCTTTAACTGTAAAGTTAGATTGTTTATTTGAACTTTTTATTGTTTTTTGAGATAGGCCTGCAATACTATCAATTTTCCTCTTAGGATTGCTTTCCCAGTGTCCCACAGATTTTGGATTGTTGCTTTCTCATTTTAATTTGTTTCAGGGTATTTGTTTATTTCTTCCTTGATCTTGTTGACCCATTCATTGTTTAATAACATGTTATTTAGCTTCCATTTCTTTATGTGTTTTTCAGTGTTCTTCTTATGATTGATTTCTAGTTTCATAGCATTGTGGCCAGAAAAGAAGCTTGATATGATTTCAGTGTTTAAATTTATTGAGACTTGTTTTGTGTCCTAACATGTGGCCTATCCTAAAAAACATTCCATGTGCACATGAAAGTGTGTATATTCTGCTGTGTGGGGTAGTGTGTCATTTAAGGCTGCTGTCCCCTTGGTGATTTTCTGTCTGGAAGATCCATCCATCGAAGTCAGTGGGGTGTTAACATCCCTGGCTATGGCTGTCTTTCTGTCAGTCTCTCCCTCTATGTCTGTCTCTCCCTTTACGTTTGTCTCTCCCTTTATGTCCATCAAGATTTGCTTTACTTATTTAGGAGCCTCCTGTGTTAGGTGCATAAATGTTTACTAGGGTTATATCCTGTTGTTGGGTTGTTCCCTTTATCATTATGTAGTGTCCTTCTTTGTCTCTTAATATAGCCTTGATTTTAAAGTCTATTTTGTTGACTACAAGTATTGCTACCCCAGCTTTATTTTTCCTTTCTATTTGCGTGAAATATCTTTTTCCATCCCTTTACTTTTAGTCTGTGTGTATCTTTTGATCTGAGAGGGGTCTCTTGGAGGCAGCATGAAAATATGGGTCTTGTTGTCTTCTCCATTAAGCTGCCCTATGTTTTTCATTTGGATCTTTAAGCCATTTACATTAAAGGTGATTATCAATGGATACATATTTAGTGCCATTTTATTGTTAGACTCTTTTCTTCTCTTTTTCCTTTCTCTTTTTCTTCTTCTTAAAGCAAGCCCTGTAATATTTGTTGCAGTGCTCATTTGGTGTTAACAATCTCCTTTAGCTGTTTCTTGTCTGGGAAGCTCCTTATTTCTCCTTCGATTTTAAATAGTAGCCTTGCTAGGTAAAGCAGCCTTGGTTGTAGGTCCTTGCTTTTCATCACCTTGAATATTTTATGCCACTCCCTTCTGGCCTGAAATGTTTCTGTTGAGAAATCAGATGACAGTCTAATTGGTGCTCTCTTGTAGGTAACTACCTGCTTTTTTGTTGAAGCTTTTAGGATGATCGATCTCCTTGTCTTTAAGCCTTGCCATTTTAATTATGAGTCTTGGTGTAGGCCTCTTTAGGTCCAACTTGACTGGGACTCTCTGAGCTTCCTGGACTTGTATGTCTTTTCCCTTCACCAGATTAGGGAAGTTTTTGGTCATTATTTCTTCAAACAGGTTCTCGATCCCTGGCTCACTCTTCTCCTTCTGGTATCCCGAGATGCAGATGTTGTTACAGTTCATATTGTTCCAAAGGTTTCTTAAGTGCTCCTCATTTTTTAACATTCTTTTTTCTTTTTGCTGCTCTGCTTGGATGGTTTTTTCTACCTTATCTTCCAAATCACTGATTTGATCCTCTGCTTCATCTAACCTACTATTTATTCTTTCCAGTGTATTATTTATTTCAGAAATTGCATTCTTTATTTCTAACTGGCCCTATTTAATGATTTCTATGTCTTTTTTCATGCCGTTGAGTATCCTTATAATTGTTACTCCAAACTTTCTATTTGATAAATTGCTCGCTTCCATTTTATCTAGTTCTCTGGTGAATTCTCTTGTTCTTTCATTTGGGGTCTGTTTCTTTGTCTTCCTACTTTGGCTTCTTTGTATTTGTGTCTGTGTATTAGGTAGATCTGTGAAGACTCTGGTTCAGACCTATGTCAAACACTGCCTGTGACTGGGCCCGGTTGTGGGCAGAAAGAACCTGACTTTGCACCAAGGCAGGCTTGCACCAGCACCGGGCCCAGGAGAGGGTCAGCTGAAGTCTCAGAGCTCTCAGAGATCTGACTCTGCCTGCAGGCTTTCTTTTAGGCTTACTCCCTGAAGTTGCTTTCTCTTGTACTCCTTAGCAGCAGTGCTGAGGCACCACAGGGTCAGGTGAAAGTGATTCCTGTGGATGGGGTTATTGCTTCCCCTCAGGCTGATGCCACTCGAAGGGGCGTGCTCCACTGGAGAAAGATGGCCTCTGCAGTGTGCAGAGTTCCTCATGACAGAGGTCCTGGCACCTCTTCCTTCAGTTTTCTCCCCAGAGCCTTCAGTCCCAGACTCTTCCTCAAGCATCTCTAGTCCAGTCTGCCCTCCCTCTGCTGGAGCCCAGGCTAAGTGCCTACAGTTGGAATTTTGTTTGTTGGCCCTTTAAGAGGCTCTCTGTATCTCCAGCCATCTCTCCCTATTGGACAGGAACCCTGCTGCTTTTCACAACTGGATGTTATCTTGGTTCCTTTCCCGCTCTGGTGCCATAGGCTGGAGAGCCTAGCTTGGGGTATAGACCCCACACTTAGGGGGACCCTCCAGCTGATGAAATACCCCTCAGGAACTTCAGCTGCCGCCTGGGGGAGCTCAACCAGCTCTCTCATGTCTTCTCTGCATTCCCTACCAGTCTTGTTACAATGAAGTCATTTCTTCCTTCTGTTCCTGGTTATAAGGCTTCTCTCCAGCTGGTGTTCAGTTGGTTATTCAGGATGATTTTTCTATAATTTAGTTGTAATTCTAGTTTGGTGCCGGGAGGGGGTTAGTGTAGCTTCCACTTATTCCTCCACCATCTTGGGTCTACCCTGTCTTCTAACAAAGACCTCCTTTAACCCAACATGCTCATTTAACTAAAAGTTTATAACTTCCATCTGGTCACAGCCATTCTTTAAAGAGTAGTCTAGGCGTTGTTTCTGCTCCTCACTCATTACTCCTCACACTTGGCCTCTGGCCTTTTTCTCTACTGTTTCACTAAAGCAGTTCTTGCCAGAATCGCCAGTAATCTCCGTCTGATATCCAGTAGACACCAGTTGTCCTGGTCTCCTGTGATTTATCGTAGCCTTGCACCTCAGCGACCCCTTCCTCCTCCGTCAGACACGCGTACCTTGACTGATAGTGCGTTGCACTATCCTCCTTATTTTTCTTGTTTTTCTGTTTGTCCTTGTGTGTCTAGTTTTTCTTCTTCTGTCTCCTTTTTTTAAAAAGATTTAATTTATTCTTATAGAGAGGGGAAGGGAGGGAGGAAGAGAGGGAAAGAAATTTCAACGGGAGAGACAAACATTGATCAGTTCCCTCCCGTACACACCCTGACCAGGGACCCAACCCACGTCCCAGTCATGTGCCCGACCAGGAATTGAACCAGTGACTTATCACTTTGCACGGCGATGCCCAGCCAATGGAGCCACACTGGTCAGGGTTTCTTTTACCTGCTGCTTAAATACCAGTGGCCCTCAGGATTCTGACAAAAGCCCTGTTTCCTTGTTGTTCTGTAGCCATTTCCTCTTTATTTCCATTTAGTCCCCTGGTTGAAGAGTCTCAAATTTAGATCTGGCCCACATCTTTTCTGAGCCTCATTTCTGTGTATTTAACTGAAAGCTCTATGAAGCTCTATGAAGAAAAGTACCTTGTATACATATTGTTCACATTTGTAATTCCTATGTTTAGCACACAGAATTTAGTAACTATTTGTTGACCAAATGAACAAGTGAACAAACTGAGCAACCCCTGCAATTGATACTATATCTTACAATTCTAGTACAATTTTCTCTGGCCCCTTCCCTTAAACCATGTGTGTATAGTGAGTTCACAGATGGCTTTAGGCACAGCAGAAGTAAGTGCTTGCAGAATCCCATACCTTGTTTTTGCCATGGCTCAGTGTTTTTGTTACAGTTCAGAGGGAACCTTGGAATGAAGAGATAGGAATGAGATCCGGGTGGGGACAGGGAGCAGATGAGAGAGCCAGCAGACATTTCTCCAGATGTTGCAAACACTGTTTCTGAGGTGGTTTTGCCCTTTTTGGGGGGCGAGGGGGCGGTTATTAGTTTATGTAATGTTTCTGAAGTTTTTTTAGTCCAATGTTTTCCTTCAGGATTAGCCTGTATTGTTTAGGGAATAAAATATTTTAAGGGCCCTATTAAATTCTGGCCATTGCTTTAGTTGTAATACATTATTTCTCTGACTTTTTACCCAGTTTTTTAAGTTCCTGTAACATTTTTCTCTTTGCCCTCAAATGATTCTTGACAGTTATATAGAGGATATAAATTGGGTTATAGAGATTATTTTGGATCTGGCATGGTGTATATGTTTATGATCTGAGTGTTCACGTCAGAGACTGTACATGCTTGCTATGGACTTAGCATTATGCCTGGAGCTTTGGGGGTATTTGGGTTAATAACGAGGTAATTGATCTTTATTGCTGTCCTCAGGGAGCATGCACTTTTAGGGAGGTAAGAGCCACCAGTAACAAGCAGCAATACCTATCAGGCAGTTTGTAGTGTCCCTTGCATGTTGCTTGGCAAGAAAAATAGTGCCCTGCAACTAGGAGATAGGTACTTTAGGCCTTGCCTGTCACTGTGAGCTGTTCTGAAAGTATCTAGGGTTTCTCTGTGAATGCCCTTTTTATTTGTTCTGGAGCATGCGGTCCCTTACATTTCTGTCTCTCTCTCCTACATTTCAGTGAGCGGTTTCTGGTGAGACTGAACAAGAATGGTGGGCCAAGGAACCCAGAGAAGATAGAACGAATGTGTGCCCTTTTTACAGTATGTGCAAACTCTCTTTCCCTTCTCTGCTGTGGACACTAATGAGGGGCCTGCTATGTGGATACTGTCGCCCTAGAAACAAGCGTTTATTCCTATTTCCCCACACACTGGGGAGAATAGGACTTGATTTATGTTTCTATCAGGTTTTAATGAAATATTTAAAGAAAACTTGAAATTCGTTTTTTAACTGATTTTTTTATTAAAGAAATATAATCAAATGCCTTTTACTGATGTGGGTTTTATAAGCTATTTAATATAATAGACACTTAAAATCTGAGAAAACTCTTTCTTACTTTTCTTATTCAAGGCCACTGGGAATTTTTCTCATGTATACATCTAGTTTCTCAAAAGACATCCATCAAATTTACAGCTTTGCTGTGTATTTTTTTTGTGTGAGTGCATATAAAGAGAAACTAAATAGTCCTCAGTCAGGTACCAGAGGATCTTTTCCTTCTACGATCTGTACTTCAGGGCTTTTCTGAATAACCATGTTGTTATTCATGGTCTGAGACCAATGAGCTCATCATCTCTCGGAAGGCTTGGTGATTTGCTTATTGGAAAGTGCTAAGCCTCATAATACCACATTGCCTTGTGTGTTTTTCAGGTTGATGCTGATTTACTAAGGTTTATTTCTTTACCCAGTTAAAAAAACTAACTGCTCTACTTTATTTGAGTTTATTTATGGACTGAGGAAGATAATAAGACTGTCAGGATTTTAAACCAGCTTCAACTATCATGGATTCTTCGGTCTGCTTCAGTGACACTGAGATACACCAAAACCCATTGGTGCAGAGATGTGTGGGGCCTCAGTGCCACTGTCGTGTGTGTGCATGATTGACGGGTGACAGGTATCCCACAGCTTCAGTGCACCTCTTAAGCACATGGGATTTGTGATATAATGTGCGACTTTCTTCTAGAGGTAAAATTGGATTTGCTTACCTGACTTTTTTGTTCATTTACTACAACTTTGTCTTTCAAAACCTAAAAAAATGTTATTGCAGAATGAGAAGCCACTTTCACCGGGATAGCTATTGTTGAAAATGCCCCAGATGTACAGAAAAACTTACAAATCTGGCTAAGCTAAAATGACGTTTTGTTCACCTTGGAGCTCAGCATTCAAAGCTTAGGAGACAATGCAGGAAGAAAGAGCAGATGTAGACCTGGGAAGACGGTTATGGGAGTTGAGGTGTCCTAGTCTGGGAAGGTCAGCGCTCTCTCTCTTAACATGAAAAAAACAAGGGGAAGAGTCCACACTGCAGTTAATGGACGTAATGCTAGTGGGTTGTGGGTGAGTTCCTGAACTAGGGCTCTGGGGCTGCCATTCTGAAACAACTAGAATGTCTCCGTGGTTTCAGGAGATTCTTCTAAATCCTGGTAGTCTGCTCTTTTCTGGTTAAAGCAGCAAAAGAAATTGTTGACTCCCTGCTCTTTGGCCTTGTGGGAACAGAGCTGTGTGCATGTGCTGTCCTTGAATATGATGAGTGCAGTCCTCGTCTCTTGAAAAAGTGAGCTTAATTATGATGATATTTGAATGTAATTACAGTAAATCAAAATTTTCACTTCACAGCATTTTCATTATCTATATGGACCCAGAAGCCGAGCTGTAGCACCCACTTTATAAATCAGAGATGCACGTGACAGTCATATGTACTGTGAGGCTGCCGCAGTGGGGAGGCAGAAGGCTGCTAAAAACACCACTTGTCATACTGTCCTGGATTTCTTTAAAAAGATCCCAACAGTGATTTGAGGAATTTGTACAAAGCACATAAGATTTTTTGAAAAAATTGTCTTATGCAGGAGTTTTGTGTTTTACTTCAGGTTATATAAAATAATAATTTTGGTGGAACCTGTCTTCTTATTATCAAAAACTTGAGTTCCTCCTGTGGGCTAAAGGAGTTTTCCAAATTGGCATTTGTGCTACAGAGTTTCAGAGTAAGAAAATGAAGCCATACCTGCACTTGATGCCAACCTGTTAGCTTACCTTAGTTAGCATCAGGAAAAAGGGGGCCATATCGATGGAACAGTTTTATGGAGTTACTCAGGCAGATGTCAGAGTTACAGTGCAGGTAATCACATTATCCAGGGCACACCCCTGTTCTCTGGAAAGCCTGTTTTATTTTTTCCCCCTGACCTTGGTAGATTTCAGAGCTCCCTGTGCAGGAAGAATTTTATCCAAGAAGGAGGTATTGCATATTTATGTGGTTGTCTAATACAGTGGGGATTTTGCTGACTTTCATGGTAAGCAATGGTTGTGTATATGAGCGTGTTGTCTGTGTACTTGCTCATTACCAGGTGTCCCATGCCTCACACGTAGGGCCTGACAGGTGCTAAGATCCCAATAATAACTTGTTACATAAATAAATGAGTGCTTATATTTTGTTACCTTTGAGTGACCAGCTCAGAGAATGAATTTAGTTGCTGCATTAGTTGGTATTATATTTGCCACACTTATTTATACTCTTTCACATTTCAAAGTAGAATTTTAGGTAGTGATTTCTTGGAATTAAAAATGAATTTGATTATTAGTATAATAACATTATACATTAAAATATTGCCTTTTTTCTGCAGTATAAATATGAATAAATTGGCTCTGTTTTATATTCATAAATCTCATCATCTCTACAGAAAAATGACAGATTAGGAACAGGGAAGTGAGTTGACTTTTCCATATTTCAAATGGAGTAATAGTAACTGAGTCTGAGATGCTGAGCCCTGAGTCACTGCCCTCTCTACCCAAGTGTAGCTGGGAACCAGCTTCTAATTATGTGGGATTGGAAGGTATGGTCCAGTGAATAAATCTAAACTCAGACTTTGCTTATCTGATGAATGGTGGGTTAGTCATCCCTCTTCCCATTTTACAAGTCTTAGGGGAATTTTAATATGGATAGCTGCATTTGGTACTTAGCTTTGAAGAGTGTGTGTTTAATAACTCTGTAGTAACTGTGTTCAGCCATGCATTTACATTTACATTAAATTTTACATTAAAATTTGACATTCTAATTATGTGGGACTCACAAATAATAATTTTACCCAAAATATTTTCTTGCATTGATTATTATCATATATTTCTTGACCTCAAATACCACAAAGAGTTCTGGGTACCATGTACAACATGGTCAGAAAGAGCCCCTGCCTACCCACTTGGAAAATACAATAAATTATATTTAAGCCTTCTCCCTTTTATTCAATCAGAAAGAGCCAAGGGAGAGGTCCCATGTTCTTGTGTACAACCCATCTATTAGTTCTCTGGTATATGGGGATTGATCATTTCAGAGACAGTTGGTAGTTTGGGTTAAAACAGTCTGAGCTGTGCAGAAGGAACCGATTCACTTGGAAACGTGTCAGACATTTCTGTACCCTTCGGTGATAGACACGTTTCATCTCAAAAAGCACATAAAAAGGATTATCTGTTTTGCGATTTCTATCTGTTATTTAGTGGCCATCTTAATAAGTGTCAAAATACAGTACCATTTTGAAGATACAATTTTAAATTCCTTTTCTAAATTAAAGGAATTAGTGAAATGGAGCTGGAAACTCTCATTTTAATATCAAAAGACAGCTTTCTTGTAAAAATTATCTTTGTGATTCCAGAGATACCAGTTTGTTAAACCTATATCATTATAAGCATATTTTATTATTCCATTAAGAATTTGACAAAATAAGCCCTGGCTGGTGTAACTCAGTGGATTGAGCGTGGGCCTGCGAACCAGACAATCGCGGTTTGATTCCCAGTCAGGGTACATGCCTGGGTTGCAGGCAAGTTCCCTGCAGGCCAGTTCCCAGCAGGGGATGCATGAAAGGCAACCATACATTGATGTTTCTCTCCTTCTCTCCTTCCCTTCCTCTCTAAAGATAAAGAAATAAAATCTTTTAAAAAGAACATTAATATATTAAAAAAAGAATTTGACAAAATATTATAACCATCTAGAATCTAAAAGTTTCAGTTTCACCATTACACATTACTTTTTGTTTGTTTTTAAAGATTTTATTTACTTATCTTTAGAGGGGAAGGAAAGGAGAGAGTAGAGAAATATCAACATATGGTTGCCTCTCGTGCATCCCCGGCTGGGAACTGGCCTGCAAGGAACTTGCCTGGAACCCAGGCGTGTGCCTTGACTGGGAATCCAACCACAGTTGTCTGGTTCACAGGCCCGCACTCAATCCACCGAGCTACCCCAGCCAGGGCTACACATTACTTTTTAATGTCTCCTTTTCTTTTTTATGTTCAGAACCATTCTAGAGGGCAAAGCTGCTACTGGGGCAAGGCAAGCAAAAGAGGGTTCTGAGACTGAGACCTCCTGAAATTTTGAACCTTAGGTGCCCTGCAACAGGGTTTAAAAACAAAGTCAACATGGGGCTCTGGATCTCAAAGGTCATTTAGAATTATGACTGCCATTTGGTTGTCTCATTCCTGCTTTCTTGGAGAGAGAGAAGCCTCTGGGACCAATCAAAAGATGAAAGATCGGGAAACTTCCTTTTGTGGGTGGTGGCACACACGAAGACAGCATTATGAAGGCCTCGGGCACGCTGCAGAGTACAAGGTGGTGGGGCGCTGCCTGCCCACCCCCAAGTGCCACATGCCTCCCCTCTACCTCATGTGCACCATTGCACCTAATCATGTGGTTGCCAAGTCCCGCTTCTGGTACTTTGTGTCTCAGCTGAAGAAGATGAAGAAATCTTCAGGGGAAATCGTCTACTGTGGGCAGGTGTTCGAAAAATCCCCCCTTCGGGTGAAGAACTTGGGAATCTGCGCTACGACTCCCACCGTGGAACCCACAACATGTACTGGGAGTATCGGGACCTGACCACCACAGGCACTGTCACCCAGTGCTACCAAGACATGGGGGCCCAGCATTGTATGGGGGCCCACTTGATCCAGATCATGAAGATGGAGGAGATTGCAGCCAGCAAGTGCCACTGGCCAGCAGTCAAGCAGTTCCATGACTCCAAGATCAAGTTCCCTCTGCCCCACCGGGTCCTTTGTGGCCAGCACAAGCCACACTTCACCTCCAAGAGGCCCAATGCCTTCTTTTAGATGCAGGGCCTCCCTGTCCCCTGTTTTACCCAAATAAACTCCTCGGGAAAACCGGAGTGCTCAGGAAAAAAAAAAAAGGAAAGATTGGAAGGAAATGGAACTAAGGGACCTTTTCCTTGAAGCATAATAGAAATCATGGGAGCCCATCTCATTAAGGACAGAGGTTACTCCATCAGTCATTACTAATTTATAGTGATGGCTGGGAGTGAACAGTGGGTGGATGACCTGGTAGGAAGTTTGAAACATCACTTCAAGTACATGTTAAATAAAGTATAAACACATACTCCTAAATAACCATTTTATTTCAGTGTGTTCTAAACATAAGCAATATATAAAATTATTTTTATAACTCTAGTTTTAAAAGTTTCTGACTCTGAATGACTTGTTTACTTAAGGAAGTCCTTAAAATTTTCCAGATAAAATTATTTTCAGCTTTATACTCAAGCATAAATGATATACAGGTTCTGTCCAGAAAGTATCTAAGTATGAAACATAGAAACATTTATTGAAGAAGATACAAAATACAAGAAACATTGTATGTAGACAGTGACGCCTCAATCTCCTTCAAACTGGGCACCTTGGGACCTCACACAGTTCTTGCAGTCGCCATCAGCTGCCCTGTTGTATTTTCTTGAATCTCATAGACAGTATGAAATCTCTTCCATTTCAAGTGTGATTTTTAGTTTGGGGAAAAGCCAGAAGTTGCAGGGTGCCAAATCTGGGCTATGATGGGGGCTGAATCACGTGGGTGATTTGCTGTTTCACCAAAAACTCTGCATGAGATGTGGTGCATGAGTGGGCATGTCGTGATGAAGCAGCCAGTCATCAGTTGCCCATAGCTTGCGCCTTTTGAATCATCTGAATAGTGTCCATGGAGGAGTATTCAAGCTTAATGCAAAATTTGATGCAGGTTCATTTCTCTACTCACTCATTTTGAATGTGATGGTGGCACAGTGCACATGTTCACTTAACGGTGACTGACTAGCACAGTGAAGTCTTCACTGTTCACACACGTGCATTCTGGTCCACTGTCCTTGACTTCCAGGTTACATTGATGCCATGCAAACTATTCTTGTTATGTTAACAATGGTTGGGCTTTTTCTGGACAGACCTCATATATCTAAATTTAGAAATGGAAATCAAATTATTGATGTTTCACTAAGACCAAGTTAATCTCTTTTCAAAGGAACATACATAGTGTGCAATAACCATTTGTGGACAGTGGAATAAATGTAACATTACTGAAGAATAAACTTTAGAATTTCAGTCATTAGTGGGCTTTTTGGTGTTTTCCCATTTCTGTGCATTGAGCATTTCTTTTGTTAGAAAATGTTGTCGTGTGATATTAGCAATATCGTGGTGATTTCTGATGTGAGAACTCTTGTAGATATTTGTTAGGTGTTCTAAATAAGAGCTGGAGAAGTAGTATCAATAAAATAAACTTCCAAAGGCTTATAACATAATGACTTTTACTGCAGGAATCCTATAAACACTAAACTGCGATGTGCTTGGACTCCCACCCCCATTTATAACTTATGCTAAAGCCATAAAAGCAAACCTCATGAGGTTCAAAATGAAATTTTAATTATTTCTGTGTATCCATTGCCTCAATTAACTTATTTTTCTCTTTTCTTAGGATCTGAGCAGCAAAGACATGAAGAGAGATTTGTACATAGTTGCCCATGTGATACGAATAGGTACTGTCTACCTTATTCATTCACGTGACTAAGACCAGTCCGACTTTGGACAAGTATCTGCTCTGCATGAGCTTTGTCTTCTTCCCACTTCTGCCTGTTTCATCAGGTCTCAGGAGGAGAGTCCAGCTGCTATTGGAGCTTTGCCTTAGGCTCAGCTCCTGTGGTAGCTGAGTTTGATATAAAGGAATACTTTTTTTCCCCCACTTAAAATCTTTTGTTCTCTATTTGTTTTGGACCCAAACTCTATTCCAAGTGGTCTGCTTATAGGCATTCTCTTTGTCAGACTGCCCTTCCTCTGTGTCAGCCCTCAGCTACAGTCATCTGATAGCAGACCTGATGGCCACGGTTGCCAACTTAACAGGTGGTGAATGGCCTTTGCTGTGTTTTGTATCAAAAAGTATGTATCTATGCTATTTTCCACAAAATTAGAGTGACTGCCCTTACTGCAGTAGATGGATGGCATCTCACTTCTCTGCCACCCAAGATGAAAAAAGTGATTTTTGCCACTATTCTGTGGTTGGTTTGCCTAGCTTATTTCAAGTTTATGACATAATTTGGGGACTGTGACTAACCAAGTCTTCCTTCGTAGGTTTGGGTTCTGGCAAAGCTTACATATTTTGTTAGAGAATATTTTTAATCCTTATCAACAAAACAACTACTTTGCTGTGTTTTGGGGGTTTTGTTTGTTTTGCTTTACTTAATAAAGCATTTGTCGAGGTTCCAGTTTTGCATTTGCGAGTCCTCTTGCCACTGCAGTCAGAGCCCTGGTAAGCAGGAGAAGCAAGGTCTTATCCACTTTCTGAGATGGCTCTCGCTCCTGTCATGGTTCAGGAGCAACTTTGGCAGCTTATAATAAATAATAAAACTTCCTTAATATGCTTAAATGTAAATGTACCAGTGCATTGATTTTTCTAAGAAATCCATGAAACATCTGTTTAATTGTCATATGATTAATAAATGGACTTTTGATGTTAAGGTGAGTAATAAGGAAGATTGATTGAATGTGATTCAGGTGAAGAGCCCTGGGCAAAGGCCTGTTTGGCACTGCCCCACATAAATATCCTTCCATCCGTGGATGGCTCTGTTCAATCCTAAGTCAGGCTGCCGGTATGGAGGATCTCTAAGGTGCCTCTAGTTCTGGCATCCTTGGATGACAGTCGGGGACAGTGGAGAGGAGCATGGAGTGCTCAGTCTGACTGGTGTTTTCTGCTGTGCCCCAGGACGGATGCTCCTGAATGACTCAAAGAAGGGCCCTGCTCACCTGCACTACCGGCGACCATATGGCTGTGCAGTCCTAAGCATCCTGGATGTCCTGCAGTCGCTCACAGAATTAAAGGAAGAAAAGGATTTTGTTCTCAAGGTTTACACGTGAGTGATGGACCTCAGAAACTTGTAACATGAGCTATCCCAGCACTGTCCTCAACAGTAGCAGTTCTTCAGCTTTGTGGACAGGGAATTGTCAGGATACATAGGATAGACAGTTTTTTGAAAATGCAGAGATTCTGATTTAAGGTTTGGGATGGGGTTCTGGCAGCTGTATTTCTAATAAGCTTGCCGGTGATTCTGAAGCAGCTAAATGTGGAGCCTTCTTTCCTAAAGTAAAAGCCTGGTAGTGTACATTTCCTCTTCTAGCCACGATTAACTGACATTATATAATCACAGAAAGGCTGATGATGAAATTTTACATGTGTTTTGGATATGAAAGAGTCTTCTATGTCTAATGCTTGCCCCCAGCTATGGCAACTGAGCTAGCTGCTGATGCAGATTGCGTCAAAGAACAGTCACGAGTCAGGTTGCCTTGTCCTTGAAGAAAGCCAGATTTTCTGAGGAGCTGCAGTTCCACCCTTCACTTCTGCCCCCACAGATCTGTAGGCCCCATTCAGCCAGGCCTGCAGTGCTCCCAGTGTTCATCAGCCGAGGGACCTGTCTCACAGAAGCAGTGCGTCTCATACTGACTCTTGTTAAACAACAGGGGAAAGAACTAATAAAGAAACACAGAATCCAGGCATATTGTCTGTCTTTGCTTCTAATACTTAGGCATGAATAGTAATGCTGAGTTTAGTTTTTGGAACATGGTGTATTTCTGTGAGAATATTTTTCAAAAATCAGGGGGTTTTTTGGTTCTAACAAAATAACTGTTTTTCCAAGTTAAATCTGGCAATCACCATGTTAATATATCTTCACCATAACATTATTTAGATATTTTTTTGTACAGTCTGTTCTGTTTGGTTCAGGCACAAAGAGAACTTAATCCACAGTTACACTTAATTTGGGCCTTCATGTAATGAACCACATTTTAGTAATTTAAAATTTATTAGTAATTTAAAAATAAAAGCCATATCCTTATTACCTATTTTGCCTTAGTTCTATTCAGAGTTATGTACTTGATGGAATGAGTCTCTTTCTTTGGAATAGTAACTTACAAAGGAAATCTTGGTGGGTTTTCTCTTCCTTGGTCACAGACTTTCTTTATCTATCAGATTTCTTCATAGATGGGTAGTGGGACCTCCTTCTTGATTCACTGTCCTCATTTTGAACAGAACTAAAGAGAAATCCAAATCTGCCATCATTACCATCTTCTCTCTGTTCATGAGATTTATATATAGCACTTGAGAATTGCGTGTCTGTGCATGTATCAGCTGTTCCTTGCCTCGGTGCAGATTCTCTCTGTGGATAGGGTCCTGCACAGCCTCCCTCTTGAAATCATGCTGTCAGGCTTAATTGAGCTAATTGGTTCTAAAACAACAGCTTTGGATATCAGCACGTCACTTTGCAAGAAGTGTGATTTGTTTGTAGCTTTTGCTTAGCTTTTTCCTATGATCCGTGTCTAATATATCAACTCCAAAAAAAAACAATGTTTTTATAGTGAAGGTAGTTTAAATTTTTTGAAGGACTGATAGAGTTAAAGTGTAGGATAATTTTTCCGGTTGAAAATTTTAACAGACTTTTAGCCCTGGTTGGTGTAGCTCAGTGGCTTGAGCGCGGGCTGTGAACCAAACAAGCACAGTTCGATTCCCAGTCAGGGCACATGCCTGGGTTGCAGGCCAGTTCCCAGCAGGGGACACACGGGAAGCGACCATACATTGATATTTCTCTCCTTCTCTCCTTCCCTTCCCCTCTAAAGATAAATAAATAAAATCTTTAAAAAAAAAAAGAAAAATTTAACAGACTTTCAAACAGACTCTGAACTGCATGTTTGTGCAGTTGGGTTTGTGTGTAGAATGGAATTTCTCTACGGTTAGTCTTTTAAGTCCACATCGGCACAGTGCATCTAGCCCTTGGGAGAAGCAGTATTTTCCAGTAAGTTTAAGGGGACATGTTTGTTAGACTGAGTTGGAAGCTTAAAGGGTTTACTAATTGCTACTGTTAGTGTTTTAACCTTTGCTAAAGATTTTGCAGGATAAAAGTCTTTTGTACAGTTTTAATCAGTGAATTGGTAAAATATGTAATTAGTTGTTGACATTCCTCTCATCAAACGGGGGATTTCATGTGTCTTGCTATATGGCCACTGCTCTGGCTGTATAGATGTTAGTCAACATCAAGTGTGTGTGGGAGGGCGGCACATCCTTTTAAGAAGATTTCAACCAGAAGCCAAGCCATGAAAATTACGTCCCTTCCCAAAGAGTCAAAAGCCTGAAAAATCACAAATTAATAGCCACACTGTGTTGTTTAGTCTGGTATGAATATCCTATCTTTCCATTTGGCCAAAGAGACAATGGTCACAAACAGGCACTGGCATGTTGAACCTGGGACATAAAAGGAGAGGTGTGCCAAGGAGCTAAAGCCAACATTGGGGTGGAGAGGAGGGGTGTCCATAAATTATGCATATGACGAATCCACGATTCCTCTGAATATGTGATGACCACTCTCCAACTTCATAATGAGAAAGTCTAAATAAACATATTTAGGTAAATCCTAATGAAATAGATAACTACTTTAAATATTAAATTTATTACCTTAGTTATATTTTAAATTATATAGAATGTATATTACATGTTATAATCAGATAATATATAAAATTGATAAGTATTGTTTTTTCCTCACTCTCATACGTTATGAGAGGATTTTATTCAAAATTTTCATAATCAGTCGTGCTCTCAGGTCTTTGTCACCACCAAAGCCACTTTCCAAGTCATCTGACTTAGTTTTTCCAGGCACCTTATTTCTCGTTCCATCAGTTGGTTTTGACACATCACTCTTTGAATCCTTGATGATGCTTTCACTGGAAATTCATCTTGAGGAAATAAATTTTTTCAGTGAATGTGTTTCACTGGAAATATATTTTTGCTGAACATTTGGACACTTCACGTTTCTGTGTTTTCATTTGTCCCGTAGGCTCATGTATGTGACCTTGGTGAGTGAGAAGGGTGTTCTGAACGTTCCTTGTTGAGCTAATGTGTGCACCTGCTCTGGTGCCCCTGAATGCTCGGAGATCCCATGGGGAAAACCAAAAACCTCTCTTCTTACTCCGTCGGTAAAATTCCTGGGTGTGGCGTGGTGGAGTGCCGCTTTGTTGCCCGTGCCGGACATCGTCTCTGTGGGAAGGTGGACTGCCACAGAGACACGCAGACCTATGTAGGTCACAGCCTTTTATGCGTCTTATGACTGAAGATAAACTATCAACATCAGTAATAATGCTCTAAATATTAATGTGATCGAATATGATATAATCATGCCTGATTATAATCACAACTCATGATTATTTAATAAATGCTTACATGTATAATTTTTCTTTACAAAATATCTTAGTGATTAGTTAAAATATGCTGATGACACCACACCCACTTTGTTTCAGTTGATTTGAAAAGCTCCTCTTGGCATTCTGTAAAAGGAGGTGTTTAAAAGGCCAGTTAGGAGATGATTACACTGGTCTGGGAGAGAGATGACACCAAGGCCTCGGAGAGGAGAAGTCAGATGTGACAGATTTTAAGATGGCGAAATCGACAGGGTCCAGGTTGAGTGAACTAGTGGGCTCTGCTTAGTGAAAGGGAGTCTCTGAAGCAGTCAGGTCGGGGAGAGATGGCAGGAGCCGTGATGTACTGATGTAGGTCAGGAACGTAGGGATGAGTCTGGTCTGGAGACACTGCTTTGTGGCTTGGCAGCTTCTGGTGCTGGTTGAAACTATGGGAGTAGGTGGGATTGCCCAAGAAAGCTTGCAGGGTAAGATGGAAATGGGCCAAAGACAGAGTTATGAAGGCCACCAATACCGGTAGTTAAGGGGTGTGCAGTGGCAGAGACAAGCTGTTTTCTGGTTCCTGAATTGTATGTGTTGGGGGGAAGGGTACATGTGAGTGAAATAATACACACTGTCACTGTTGATGTGGTCAGCAAAGCATGGGCTTCACTCTACTACCAAGGAACCAGTGAGAGTCTTTTTGGAGGGAGTTAATTTTAAGGACTCCGCTTTTGAAAGCAGTGTTATTTATGACAAAATGTAGTCAGAGTTCTGTTAAAGTAACTATTGATTCTGTAAACCTCAAAAGTGACAAAAAACTGATAGAAAAACACATCTTGGCCTCTTCACCAGCTGAGCACTTCTGGTATTGACTGGCTGGAAGACGAGACAGCGCGTGTCAGACAGGAAGGGCTGGAGGTGCTGCCGCCAACACCTCTCACTTTTCATTTCCAGCTGAGTTGCTAAGTCGTAAGTGATCATCTTAAAGAACACTCCTGCCTCTTTGGAAGGAATTCTGAAAGTGGGAAGTTATCCTCTCAGCTCTGTGAGAACCTCATCTTTGACCGTTTTTCACAGGCTAATTTGTACTGACTGAAGAGTCTGAAGAACCACTGATTGAGTAACACAGTCAAGATAGTGACCAACCTCCTTGAACTCTGTGGCCTCTCACAAACCCTTTTAGGTAGAAAGCTGTGGTATGTCACACTGCTGGATAGCACGCGATATAACCTACTGAGGTTCTCTCTTGAAGGGGCTGTACTGGACTGTACCCTTCTGTGCAACTATGGAAAGATCCTGTGAATTTTCCTTTGCCCATGGGTCCTATTTTGTGGAATCAGTGTGTCCATGTCTCCCTATCCAACAGGGGCTGGAGTGGGGCCAGGGCCTTGGGGACTGCCAGTGTCACATGGGATTTTCAAGAGATTACCCTGAATCTCATTCCCGTTGTTTCATTGAGGTGTCTGCATTAGGATGGGGAATTCCTAGTCTTCTTTTGCTAAGCTAAGCCAAGTGGTTGTGTGGTTGCAGCCCTTGGAATTGCCTCTTAGAGGGGAAGACTGTAAATAATGTCATAAATGAACACAGGTGCAGTGTTGCTCCTTCATTCTCTCTTTTGTTCCAATCTGAAGTCCCTAGGAAAGAACTGTCTTCTTTCATATTTAAGCATCTGCCTTCTCTGCTGAGCCCTCCTTCCACGCACTGCTCTCCCAAACTCTTCTTTTTACTTTGGACTGGCTGAAATACAGCCCAGGCAAATAACCACGTTGCCCTGTGCTAAGCAGGATTTTCTTCTTGGGCCAGTATGATGACAGCTGAATGACAGAATAAAGCAACTGCGAGGCATGTCGGTTTCTAAATGGGAGTGCTCGTTGGGAGGAACAGTTTTCTTCTCCAATGGGAACTATCCTCTGGAGCCTAGTTCTTTTTGTTGCTCATTTGTTTGGGGTGTGTGTGTGTGTGTGTGTGTGTGTGTGTGTGCGTGTGTGTAAGGAACTAGAAAAGAAAAAACCCTGACAGTTGGGAGAGTGCTGTCAGGGAAGAGGGCATTTTGCCACTTACACCGTATTTGTAGAGATTCAGTTTAGAGCTTCTATTTTTTCCCCAAGTGTGAATATTCTGTGTGCCTCAACAGAAAATGAGCCTTGTCTAATTCAGTAAAATATGCATTTATTTCTTTTGGAAAGTGAGATTGAAGTGTCCCTTTAAACTTTGTGTCACAGATTGGAATGTGTGTTTGAGACCCTTGAGAATCACATAACTGTCCTTCTGTTGCAGGTGCAACAATGAGAGTGAGTGGTCCCAGATCCATGAGAATATCATCCGCAAGTCCAGCGCCAAGTACTCTGCCCCCAGCGCGAGCCACGGTGACGTATTTCTCTGGCTAGAAATACAACTCTGTGTTGCATTTGCAGTTGCTGATCTCACACCTAAGCAACTGGTGGTGATCGTTTATTTGCCACATGTAAAGTTCAGTTCCTGATAGACATTTATTTCTTTTCCTCCTCTGGTACTATCTATTTCGTTTTGTGATAATTGGGACCTTTTCTAATTAATTTCAACCAAAATACATTTTCTGTTTTTTCTATGACAGTGTCCACGTGCTCTGGTAGGTGACTTGAGTTCCAATGTAAATCCAGAGTGGACAGAAGTGTTGCAGGGTTTGTCACATGTGAAGTCTGTGTTTTCCTGGACAAAGATTACACACCCAGCCCCTCAAAAGGAGACAAATATTAATGTCGCTTTTCCCGTTCTTGTTTAGTGTTAGCACCACCATGAAAGCCTGACACAAGTGAGAACCAGTGATTACTCTGCCAGTATCAGTCACTCTGGAGCTAGAATAGCAAGTCTTCATCACCAGGCAGATTTCATCTTCACTCAACTTTTCCTTCTTCCTCCTTTGCTCTTAAACTCTGTATATATAATTTCGTCTAAATCTTGGTACAGTTAGATCGTACATCTGCACATTAGATTATTTTCTAAATTGAACATTAGTTACTTGCTGAATTTAGAAGCACTATTTAAAAGCCTATGATTTTTTATATATCCTTAAAGATAACCTTCAACTATACATAGAACCATGTTTCCTTCTGGCAGTATATACCTCTAAATTATGTCATAATCTCTTTTACATACCTTGTTTGTTTTAACTTTCATAGACTTCTAAATGAAAAGTTGGCCTTAAATGACTGTGAAGCCACTGCAAGGCATGCCGATTTCCAAAGTTGTTGAGAAGCACTTTCATTCTTCTCCATCAGGGTCAGCAGATACTCAGCGAGGAGGGCTCTCAGACCTGCTTCACCTGCGGGGCTGCAAGGCTGTGCAGTTTGAGACTCCCTGCTGGGAGAACTCGATCCCTTTGACACTCTGAGGAACAGGGGTCCTGAGGGCCTCTGACTGTTTTTAAGTGACTGTTTCCCCTTAGGGGTGTGCCTGGATGTCAGGGAGCTCCATGCAGTGTGCCTGGGGGTGGGGGGCCAGGGGGGAGTACATGCTGCTAACCTAAAACAAGGCAAAAGCAAGATGCAAATAAAGTCTTGTTTTTAAAGTATAAAAAAGCTACTAGCAGTTTGGAAAATTCTCATTCACATCAATATTTATAATGTTCTTTGCTTTATTTACTTATTTGGTTTATAAGAGCTGCCCTTGACTCTGAGTTCTTGAGACATGATATGATTAAAATGTGGAGAGCATTTTTTTAAAGTGAGATGGTGGCAATAATTCATTAGAAGAAACAGCTAAAAGAGCAGTTTTTCTATTACCTCACCAAGTGAAGCTGCTGACTTCTGTCCTATTCCCCAGGGTAAGCAGAGACTGCACCAGCTTTGGTGTCCCTGGGGTTTGTCCAGAGCTCACAGACCCTGGTTGTTTACACAGTGGGAGAACAGTACTTGTTCTTTGCTGGGACACCACAGGCTTCCGAGTGCCTCGGAAGTGCTTCCGAGGAGCCATTGTGAGAGGAGTGCTTCCTGCACTGGGGGAAAAGCCAGAAGCAAAAATAAGTTGCTGCTTTTTGAATTGTGTGTCTGATTACTCCTTGGCAAGGCTTGACTTGGAAGATGGTTGAGATCTTGAAACCTTCCTGTTTCACCCCTCCCATTAAATATTTATTTAATGAGAGGAAACTGATGCTTAGTGAAAGTACTTAATGGCCGAACAAGGAAGCCTGGGTTTCCAGACTCCAAGCCACTGGCCTTTCTGCTCTATTACCAAGCTTCTGAGCACCGGTCTTCCACTGCCAGACTCTGGGGTCTTTGTGTCAGAGAATTTCATAGCTGCTCAAGGAATAGTTCAGGTCTTTATTAGTCTCCTCAATTAGAGACACTTCTTTATAAAAAATTGTGTTTGCTGTACATTGTCACCCATCTTTGTTAAAAGTCCTGGACAGTTTACTACCTTGGCAGTTTTGCTGCAGAAGTCGTCAGTGCGTTCCCTTCTAGTCAGATCCTAAGAAAATGCAGAAGGAACCGCAACGTTGGTTTGGGTGCTGAGAGTAAAAGTATCATGGAGCAGGAACTCTGTTAGGTGCAGCTTTAGTGTGTGTGGTTGCTTGTTTCCACTGTTGGCCTCTTAGATATGCAGCCACAGACCTAACTCTTGGCAATTCCAGTATCATGAACGTTGCTAAAAACAAGTAAGACAGGTAAAACAGTTGACACACTAGTTTTCTTTGTGTTTTTAAGTGACTATTAACTATAGCTTTGTGCACACATCTTGGTCTAAGATGGATTTACATTATTAATCCTCACCTAGCTCTTCTGTGAAAGGTGGAGGTAGAGAGGAACAGGGCCAAGTTGTTGACCCTCCAGTATTACACACAGGATTATTGTCCATTTGTCAGTGTTGTCAATTTGTCCAGTTGTTTTTGTGGGACAGTCTTTAATCTGAGACAAAGTTCAGTGATAAAACAGTTTTCTGTGTCAGGGGTCATATTAACAGAGAAATTGTATAGACATGGTTACTGTCAAGTTCCTTGGCTTGAGAGCTGGCCGACTGGTAGGAAGACCACCAAGTATTACAAAGGGACTGGTACATACTGGGCAGGTGAGTGCGCCACTTCCCTGAGTTACTCACAGAGGCTCCTTCATCCTGAAGACCAGTCCTTAGCATTATTTGTCATGTGCTTTCATCATCCAGGTTTCAGAACCAGAAATGAGATCCAGAAGTTCCAGGACTCCAACCCCTACATTGTAGGGTTCACAAGATAGGGTGGGGTTTTTATAGTCTTCACTGGTGACTTCTTTCACTCATTGTGTGCCTTTCTACCTGCTTTCTTGTAGAAACTGAAGCCCTCTTCCTCTCATTTGTTACATTTTGAGGTAGAGAACAGCTGCTCAGGATTCCTTGGGCTAGCTCGAAAGCTAGATGTCTCTCCCAGCACCTTCAGTCTACACCCTCACAAGTTGCACTTGGCATGTCTTGGCCAGTGTGGCTGTCAGAAAATGAGATGAAAGGCAGTCATGGGCACGTGAGTAAATCTTTGCTAGTACAGAATGATAAGAGTGCACCCACTGATTCCTTTTTCCTCTGCCCTCCAGCCACCATCTCAAATTCTGGAAGCTGTTCCTTCCTCAGCTGTCTGCTTCAAGTTAGGCTATCTTGAGGTCTGTGGGTTCCTGTTTACCCAGAGAAAGACATTTGACAGCTGTGTAAAGACAGTATAGGTCCATGACCTGGGCTTGTGGGGCTTCTCTCCTCTACAGAGATCACCATGGCTGGATTCTGGCCCCCAGCCTTCAGGTTCATAAACTAATTGTGATTGAGTCTGCCAAGTGATTAGGCTGTAAAAAATTACTTTTGGGTGGTCGAAGTCCCAGACACTGATTATCTGACCAGAATGCCAACTGGATACCATATGTCTGCATTTCAGGACACTGTGTTGATGGATCCCAGTGTTAATGGCACCTGGCACAATACATGTGTAGTTCCAAGGTTTCTTGGGGAGCATGAGCCCAGCTGAAGCAATGAGATCATCTTGAGGTTTAGGCTGGGCTTCAGTGGAATGTACTTCCTCCCCTGGCCCAGCTGTGAAAGTACACATTCCTAGTGTCTGTGGCTCTTTTTCACTTTCCCACCCTTCTCTCTCTTCCCATTCTTATTCTCCAGCTTTGTTCGTTACTGTTACCTTCTAGCCATCACTCTTCTGATTGTCATAATTATCATAATATCTTCTCCCAGTTCTAGATGTTCATTTATTGCTCATCTCCCAACTTTTTCCATCCATGAGTTACTTTCTACGGACCTGTAGACCAGCACCTAAATTTACCTTGCTGTGAATTTAACAGCTAACTTCATTTACAGAGTCTTGGAAGCACTTCCCAACTATATCTAGGCTTGACCTCACAGCCTTATAGTTAGTGGTTGCAGTGGGGTTCCTTGGGGACAGGGAAGGGGGCAGTTTCCAGGAGATTCTTACTTTGTGCAATACTCCTAGGGTACAAACAATGAGCCAGAAAACAGCTTATCTCAGATCATCTGGAGAGCCTGAAACACACAGAGTCTGAGACCAGGCTCACTTAGTGTCCCCAAACTCTTAGTGTCCCCAAACTCTTTACTCACAGTGTGGTGGTTTTCTGCAGGAAGAACATGGTGTCTGCTGGCTGCTCACTTTATAAGCTATTGCTAGGTTGACCAATCACATTGCTTCCTACACTTCGGCATACTTGTAGCATGGAATACAGTACCTCTTAGCTCATTTATTTCTAGCTGGTGGGACACCTTGACTGACACAAGGTCTTTTTTGGTCACACTTGTTTCTGGGCTGCCATTTTTTTCTGCATACTTTTCTGGGTCTCTAAATGAGCCGCTTATGTAGCTCATCCCTCCCCTTCAATATTCAGTAGGGCCTGGCTAGGCCCTGGGTTGAGTGCTGGGTAACAGAGAGAAAGGCAACTCAGTCTCCCAGACCTCAGTCTGTATTTACAGACTAGTTCTCTGGGTTACTGAGGTCATCTTGGCTTAAATTTCTTTAGCTTTCTAGAATGTTTCTTGAGAATAGTATGTATTTTCTGCATCAATTTTTTTTTCAAGAAAAATGCTGAACTTTGCACTTTTTGTTTCCTCACTTGGAAACAGCGAGACTCTGTCTTGTCTAGCACTACAATACAGGGTGGAAGTGTGGGGCTAAAGAAGAAAATACTTTTGTTCTTGCAGGCCTCATCATTTCTCTCCAGCTTCTTCGTGGAGACATGGAACAGATAAGGAGAGAAAACCCCATGATATTTAATAGGGGATTGGCGATTACAAGAAAATTGGGATTTCCTGATGTCATCATGCCAGGTGGGTAGAACTTCCTGGGGCTCGGGTGAGGGAAAGGTGAGGAGCATGGATTCCAGTGCTTCTCTCAGGAGCAGCTGGGAAACTGCCGTGGAGGAGCCCGGCAGCAGTATCAGCCTCTGCACCCCAAGTCGGGTTGCTGACGATAGTCTACAGCCAGTGGCCCCTTTGGCTCTTGTTGGCATTTGTCTTTTTCCAGAAGCCCCACATCACATCCCCCAGTGCAGCATGACAATCCAGCGGCCAGACTTTGTCGTCTCCGAGGAGGCTGGGTGGTGGTGACCACCATGGAACTTCCTGAGGGCGCCTTTTACACTCTGCTTTCATCACAGGCTGTAGAAGAGAATTGTCTCGCAAGAACTTCCTCTTTACATGGAAGAATATGTACCTGTAGTGTTGATGAATCCCACTTCATGTGGGAATAGCAGATGCATTTTAACATGTCAGAAAACTGAATCAGACAGATGGTGTCCATTAGGCATTGTGAATTGTATGGCCTAGCCAGCTTCTCGGGAACTTTCTCACCCGCCTTGTCTAATGCTGGTTGGAGAGCCAGGGCAGAAAGTGGGAATACACTGACCTTCCAGTGTGAGTCTAGCAGGTCAATCCCAAGTTTATGTTTTCAGTTTTATGCAGGTGATGCTGGAGAAGTGGGTCAAAACAGGCCATCAGAGCCAAGGGGGCTGTAGGGAGTGAGGGAAGGCAGAGAGGTGTCTCAGATGGGTGGCAGGTGGTCTGATACGCAGAGAAGATGCAAACAAGGGGAGGGAAATCAGAACAGACAAAGAGCTGGTTACCTGGACAGATTCTAGGACTTATGAATCTACCCTTTCCACTGTGTTTTAATGATCTGGTAAAAGCTTGTTTGCTTTTGTGTAGAAGGGCCAAGCCAGACTAGACTGAACTGTGACTGCTGTAAATTTCACCTATTTGGAGTTCTCCATGGTGCTCTAAATTCTCTTCTCGTAGATGTTTGCCAGCACATACCGAAGGGGAGCGTAGAAGGCCCATGTGCTGGATCCCAGCTGCCTCCCCCTTCCCACACTAGTCCCAGACTTGTTTTCTGTTGCCTTCGATACCTCTCCATAGACACTGCAAGCAGAGCAGCTGCTGTGAATAGCCTTCATCTTCTGCTCATGCACTAAAGGAGGGTCTTTTGCATGGGAAACCTGGGTCACTCAGTCAATCCCATGTTTATTTTTAAATGCTGAGGAGACCTCATGCTTACTAAAGGTCCCTGTCTGGCTGCCGTAGATGTGATAACCTCCACAGGATGTTTCTCCATCCGTCCTGACACCATTTCTCAACTATCTCTGGCCCTGGTTATTGGGAAAAGAAGATCCCAGGCACAGTCCCTGGCTTCTTGGCAGCATGTCATGGAAGAAAGAGTCGGTGGTTAAACATTTATCTGGTGATCTATTTTAATTAGATATCAAGGCTCAAGAGGTGCATATATTCTAAGGGATACACTTAAAGTCTGCCCTTTCTCTTAAGGACTTATTTGTCTAAGATTTAGACATTTCTTCCTTTCAGTCTTTACACAGTCGTAGAATTAAAACCAAGTAAGCAGAAACTAGAAAAGAATAAGCTCAGTCAAAAATATTTTTTAAGCAAGCTTTGATTTCAAAAGTGACATTGTCCAAACTTCATCCATGGAAAGAGATCTTTTTGTGAAGCACTCTGCATCTCTTTGCATTGTTGGCACACAGTTTATAAAGGATTTCTGAGTATGCTAGGCATCACCATGGGAATCAGGTATATTGGGCACTGGTGAGGCCAGCCGAGGTAAAGGGGGCTTTTCCTCTCCTGGGCAGCTAAGGGATCCTGTAATTTGCCCCATGAGGCCAAGATACTGGCAATCCTGGGAGGTCCCAGCCGGGGCTGTGAGGATGCTGCTTTCTGTGTTGTGTGCCTTTGCGTGTGGAGTGCTGCCGCTGAAAATGAGGATGGTTCACAGGCTAAAAGCTGTCCTTTGTACATACTCTGTCTCCGTCTCTATCCTCTTTCCTTGAGGGAAGAGCTTTTGGCACAGATGGCACTCCCAGGGTTGTGAGCTAACAACTGCCCGCCCCTTAATGCACCCCAAGATGTCAGCAGAGTGGGTGTTCTATCCTCAGGCAAGGTGGCAGAGCTGGCCTGCAGGTCCTGTTGCAGCAGCAGGAAAGTGTGGAGTGTTTTAACACTGCAGCCAGCCTGTGTTGGGAAAACATGATAAGGCTTTTTGTGAGACTTCCAAGCTCTGGCTACCTGTCCACCAGCAGCTGGTCCACCTTCTACCCATGGGAATGTTGTTCCTGGGCTACAGCAGTCTCAGCCCTCACAGTGCTGGTGTGACCAAGTTATAAGAAGTTGCGGCTGCTTCTTGACACACAGGTATATGGGCAATGAACAAGGAAATAAATTGTGTCAGTAACTATCAGCCTTTCAACACTTAAGTCTGAGGAATAAGAGTAAATGTAAAAATTAGAATTACCCATAAACCATGATTCTTATTTTAAAACTACTCAGAACTTGGCAGACACTCATCGGGAGAGGTTACGGCTCTGCGTTACGGTGCTATAACTGTACAGTTGGAGTTTAGACAGGCTCTAGCCATACCACCAACATACCATTTCAGAAGAGGTCTTTGAAGTGGTCCCCTATTGCTTTCCATGGGTGTGCATGTGCATGTCACATGACTGTTGTGAACAGGAGATGTCCTACTGTGTGCCATAGCTGAGCTCCTGACTTCTAGTTATAGAACAAATAGATATGGGGATTTAAGCCAAAATTTGAAACTTGCTGCCTTTTGTTGGTTTGTCACATTTCTGTGGTACTTCCTCCTTCCTTCCAAATTCGTTTTAATTCAGCTACAAAAGCTAATACCTCTGTTGCATACCTTTGCTCCTTTCTTAGATTTTTTCAAGAACATGGTCAGGACAGGATGGGAGCGGGACAGGTGTTCAGGTGAACAAGTAAATGTTAACACGGTTCCCAGTAATTCACTTGTCAGAAGTAGCCCCCTGCAAAAAAAAAAAACCTTTAAAATGCTGTTGGTCAAAAGGCTGCAAACCAAAAGGGATGATTTAAAATCTCCCACCCAGGAAAAGGCTGTACCTTCTCCAGACCATGTCTGAACCAGCAGGAAAGTGCCCCCACCTCCACCAGCCCTCCCTGACCCTTCTCTCTCCTGGAGGGTGTGTTTTCCAGAGGCAGCAGCAGTACAGGGTTCTGTCATGGCTCTGTGGGGGTGATAACATTTTAGCTTGTTTCCAAAGCCTTGAATTTTAAGGTTGTCATTTACTGTGAGCGATGTGGACCTTGTTTCTCATTAGTTAAATGGTTTTCTGTCTTGCCAGAAGAAATCTGCCCTTTGATTTAGTATGTTCTAACTGCTGACTAAGTTTTTCCTAAAGCATAGTTCTCTAACTTCAGTATGCATCATAATCACCTTTAGAGCTGGGAAAAACACAGATTAATGGGCCCTGGTCAAGAGTTTCTGATACAGTAGGATTGGGGTGGGACCTGATAATCTGCATTCCTCACAAGCTCTCAAGTAATGGTGATGCTGCCCATTCCGGCCCCAGTTTGAGAACCATGCCCTAGCAGGAACTTTGCTTTAGAAATGCTTTGCCCTTCTCTGAATCAGACCTGGCACAAGTACTATTCCTCTCTGGATTGCCCTGAACTTGACCATTAGAAGGTAGGGATGGAGGCATGCTGTCCCCCTCTAGGGGGCCCTCTGATTCTTGCCCTTATGCTCAGAAATACGCTCTCTCCTTTGCTTTGATCCCTGGTAAAAAGTGCATGCTTCATTGCCGACCTGCAAGTGATGTTTTATTCTCTTTTCCTGTTTGTCTTAATTGTTCTTGTTTCTCTCTGTGCTGTCCCCTCATTCTCGCTCCTTTCTTTCTGGTGCAGAGACGAAGATAGTTGGGTGTAAGTTTCTGCTTTTGTGTGTCCTGTTCACTCTTTGCCTGCTGTGTTTCCATCTTCATTTGTTTCATGGAATGTTGCAATACTGGGGTGGGGTGTCATGTACATTATTAATCCTTCATCAACCTCACCTTTTGGGGTAGCTGACACAGCATAAGAAGAGAAACTACCAGCCTGCCTAGAAGACTGTTACTTTGGGTTATTATTAAGATCTGAGGAAGTAAAGGACATGTTGGAATATTAGAAAACCTTAACCAGCCCTAGGTGTACAGCTATAGGGATAGCTTTTTTAAAAAAAATCCTCACCTGAGGATGTATTATTGATTGTAGAGAGAGAAGAAGGGGAAGAGGGAGAGCAAAACATCAGTGGTTGCTTTTTGTATGTGCTCTGACTGGGGAGCAAACCCGCAACCTAGGCATGTGCCCTGACCAGGAATCGAACCTGCAACTTTTCTGGTGTATGGAACTTGGCTCCAATCAACTGAACCACTTGGCCAGCACGACAGGGAAAGGTTTTAATGAGACAGATCAGCTACTCCCATTGACAAGAACATGAGAAGGCTTATTCTGAGCTATAGAGAATCAGGCAGAAAGCTGGTCTTTTCAGCTCTGCTGGATTCATCTCCTACAAAGGGCAGTCACACGGAGACATGGTCTTTGAAAGAAAGCTCTCCTCAAGGGGGGTGATGAAGGAATTTACATGGTAATTCATAGGACTTTGGCCGTCTGAGGGTCAGATGAGGCTCTGACAATGTAGCTAAGGGATGGTTTGGAATTAGTCACATCTGGCCCCACAGCAGGGTGAAAGATCATCACATCACTGGCCCATGAAAAGAATAACCACATATAGTGAGGTCACTGTGTGTATTCCTGTCATCCTGTCAGAGTAGGGAATGCCACTGACTTTGTAACAGTACAAACCAGTCGACGTGTGACACTGAAGACATGGTTAGAAAAGTGAGGGAGCCGTCTCTCCTGGATACTGTAAAGAAGTTCTCCCATATTTCCACGAATGCTGTCTAGAGACTTCACTCCCATTCTGCTGAGAGATAGAACTGGCACCATTACAGGTAGGCTGCTGTGACTGC